CGTGGAAAATGCAAAACTTACATCACTCAAATGACACTCAAAATGTAAAATGCACGTCATGGTTAGACTAAATCTAAGCAATGGTTACCTAAGCTAGCGGATTTGGCCCCTAGACGTTGAATAGACACTACAATACTCCATTGTGCGTTTTGTGCCAAAACCCCCAATTACGCATTGTGTACTCCGCTTTCCTCGTCTAATTTATTACTAACTTTCCACACTCCTCACGGCTAACTCGTTCGGTCTCTGGCTCGAGGATGAAAATAATTCGACGAAATGAACATTCAATGAAACAAATTTTCGACGAAATGAACATTCGACGAAATGAACATTCGATGAAACAAACTTTCGACGAAATGGGTGTCGACGAAATAATTTTCGACGAAGTAAACACGACCGCACTGGATTTAGAGAAAGTTTTGGATCCGGTTTGGACCCAAGAATCCAGTCATATTCTACAACTACTTTGAGTTACTGAAGAGTATATCCAAATAATGATGATAATAATGAATGCGTTATCAGGTGAACCGAATGGATAAATAATATGGTCCTGCTTTACATAAAAACATCCCTTATTTTGACTTCATTGAAAATCATTTTTGATATTTTTTAAACATAATAATGTTATTTTATCAGAATTCTACCAAGATTGATATGAAATAATATTGTTCATACATATTTTACTGACTTTTTTATTTGTTTCTGTAATACCGGTTACGTCTAAATTTAAGTCATTACATTATGCGTACCTATTCCTTTTGTCGGTTTGTTATATTATAACAATAATAATTAACGTTAATATTGAATTGTTATTTAATATTAGGATCTATTCTAAATAGATTGAGAATTTTATTTATTTTCATTCATTTGTTTTGTCTATACAAAATTTGAGATGATGTAAATAAGTGGTGGTATGTAGTGTTGGTTTCCAAAATTAGAGAGTTTTGCAACCGTGTGAAAGTCAAAATGTTTTGCCATAAGTCGAAACTAGTTTTGATTTAGTTTTGACATATAACTTTTAATTTTAGTTATGACTTTTACCTCTTCAAAACACAACACAGTGGTATACCATTTTCTAAATGGTCACTTCTGTACTTGGTATTTTTTCGATTTTTACATATAAATTTGAATAAGTTAGGTTCTATAGTAGAGTTAAGCAGAATTGTAAATAAAATAGGCAGAACTTGAGCAGAAATAATGTTTTCAAACGCCACAGATTTTGCTTTAGAAATTCATCGTCCCTGGATTTTACTTTTACAAATTTTTGGGGTTCAATCAGCCGATTCTTGCTAGAGAACCCATTTATTCACGATCCACACACTTTTTTATTAATATTAATTGAATGTTTACAAAATTTATAATCCTTATTTCAAAGAATATAATGGCACTAACAACTCATTTTGGAGTTCTTGAACCCAAAATAAAGATGGGAATCGCAATTAACCACAATTCAATTTTTATATGCCGCAATTAATTCAGGAGTCATCTTTAACCCTTTGTTAGTCCACAACCCATATCACTAACTTAGCTTGTGCTAATTCAATAAATATTCTTTGGTTGAGGTTTAATAAACATAATTCGTGATTTTGTTCAACACACGTTTTTGAAGAAGATAGTTGTCGAGAGATATTCATTTTATAAAGAAAAATTCACCTTTATTTATACATTTAGAGGATATTTGAATAATAACCTTTAATAAAAACAATAAATAGTTATAAATAATTTTATTTGAAGAATTATTAGTGTAAATCATAATTTAATATTATTATTATTGAGTGGATTTTAGAATCTATTTTTGATTTCACTCATTATTATTATAATATTAAAAATTCTTGTTTCAACGGGATTTTTGTGATATTAATATTAATATAGTGGAACTACTAATACAGGTTTACAATTTTCCCAAACTCAAAAAAAATCAATACACACATTACTATATTAATATTAATTAATTCCTTTTTGGATTGTTGGATGCAAATAACAGACCATTGGGCGTACATTAATTATGGTTATGTATTCAGCCTTGGTAAATCTAATAAAAATTACATCCAATCACGCATGCAAACAGGATCTTTTTTTAATAATTTAACCATCTACTTACTTATCATAGTAATGATCGCACACAATGCGATTTTTCAATACATTAGATTAGCCTGTTTTTGCGAACCTAAATACTGGATTTGAATTCCTAGAACAAGGTTTTTTACATATGTTTACTTTGGATGTTATTACGATAATTCATTTTAAGAAATATAGTTTATGCCAAGTAGAATTTGCTGACAAATTTAAAAGTAACTATCATCACAAACAAACTTAAACCAATCAATTGAGAATGATAAGGGAATCAATCGTCTATTGGAACAGGGATTAAAATCAAAACATTAAGAAGCAAACAATCAAATAAATACATCCAGTTTTTTACTTTGTCCCATTTTTATTCTAACGGATTTTTGATCTAATAAAGTAATTTTTTTTTTACTTTTCAATATTTTAAATAAACAACCAATAACATTGTCTTTTCCTCTTCTTCCTCCTCCTAATTCCTCTTCTTCTTTTCTTATTAATTAGGCTATAGAAAATGTCGGATCCAATAGCAAATGACACAGAACATATTACATATTCGATAACTGATGAACAAGGGAAGGTTGCTCTCCTGTTAATGTTGATTGAAAGTTCAGCATCATTGATTGCAACTACATTCGGAATTTCAGTATTTTTTTATATAAGATATGCATATCCCCGATTAGTCGATAGAGTTACATTTCGACTTGCATTGGGTACAATAGTATCAGACTTTGGTATTGCTGGAGCTCAATTAATCGGTTCGATGTTTGCATCCCCAACCGGCCCAGCATGTACAATCGCTATCTGGGGAACTGTATTTTTTAGTCTTGTATCAATTTTTTTGCCTACCTGTATTGCTCTGGTAAGTATATTTTTTATTAGTCAATCAATCAATCAATCAATCAATCAATCAATCAATCAATCAATCAATCAATCAATCAATCAGTCAATTAATTACTTTTATTGTGATCCATGTGAATTAAACAGAATCTGCAAATAGTGTTCATTCATGGGTACAGGGGTAGACTTAAATTAGAAATGTTTTATTTCGTAGGTTCGCTCGCTTTAGCCTCAATTCTATCATTAATTCCGTTCGCCGATAACATGTATGGTTGGGATGAACCCGAAGCGTAAGTTTTTACATCTAATCATTAATTTACTATATCATCATTAACTATATAATCTTTACTTCATAATAGTATGTGCTGGTTCCGTGACTCGGGTACAAAATTGAGTATTACATGGCAATGGGCATCATTCTATATCTGGGAGATACTTTGTATATTATATTGTTTAATAACATTGATTTGTGTTGCGGTGAAATTATACAAGAATCAATCAGTAAACGCCAATATTAGTGGTCAAACAGCAACAAGCAAACACGATAAGAATGTTTTAAGGAATAAGGCCATTATATCATTAGTGGTTAAAAAGGTTATATGGTATCCTGTTGTGCCTATAATAACTCAGTTACCAAATTTTTTAGTTGAAACTGATATTTATGTTAACCAGAGGATCAATTATGTATTTTTAATACTGTCTATTACCAATGCATTTCAAGGTAACTAACCAATAATAAAATTATGCCATATATTTTAGTAATTTATTATTAAATATTTAATAATTTTTTTCTTTAGGTTTTCTCAATACCATAGTATTTATGCAAGATATCGCGGTTTCTAGAGCTTATAGCTTAACGAAATTAAAATGGTGGTATAATCACGTTAATAAATATGAAGAGTCATATCCCCATTTATCACGTAATAAAGCAATAGATTCGGCTGATCATGAAGTAAAAGATGAACAGCAGAAACAAAGTCAGCAGCAACCTTCTTTTGGCGAAAAATTACGATATAATTTGTTAACCTTATTGTTTAGTAAACCAAAAGGAGATGAAATATTGATTGAATATGATCAATATATGACGGTAAAAGATGACGAGGAATTGTTGTCAACAACGCAAACAATGAATGATAAAAATGATGGTGATGCAAAGGTAAAGGATGATGAGGGTACTCTGGGTCAACTTAATAAAAATGTTTTATGCAAAATGTAAAATATCTATAATTTAAGTAATTTTATATAAATAATAAACAAATATTTTATGATTCTTTTTTTATAAAGTAAACTGATTTTTGTAAAAGTATTTTCGTCCGTAAACGAGTGACCTGCAAGTAAACCAAAATATTTATTATTATCTTGGAGGGTTCCTAATTGTAATTCTAATCTTAATCTCCTATTCGAATATTCGTAAATCCAAAATTCCGAATTCAGAATATTTATTCAAAAACCTCGTAATTATTCTGGATGCTCTTATATTTTGGATGTTCATAAGTATTCATTACTTCAGATATTGTATAAATTTTGATAAATTATATCATCATACAAATCAATATTTATTAATCAGGTGTAAGAATGTTGTGACATTTTAAAAATGATCTATACAATTGGTAGTTCCTGAAGTATTGAGAAAAAAATTTCTGCAAATTCCATTTGGGTTTCGCAGCAATCAATTGTTTAAAATGCTTTATAATATAAATAAATGTCCGACTTATCGAGTTTAGATGTGTATGCAGAAATAATGTTTTCTAACGCCGCACATTTTGCTTTTTCGCCGCTGAAATTCATCATCCCTGCTTACAAATTTTTGGGGTTCAGTCAGCCAGTTCTTGCTAGAGAACCATTTATTCACGAATTCATCAATTAAAATAATTTCTGGGCCAAAATTCAATAAATTTTTGTGAACTGATCCACACACTTTTTTGTTAATATTAATTGAATGTTTACAATTTTATTTGAGGAATTATTAGGTAAAACATAATTTAGTATTATTATTTAGTGGTAGAAATCTATTTTCGATTCATTCATTATGTCGTGACCCATCTGATTGTTTTAATATTAAAAAATTCTTGTTTCAACGGGATTTTCGTGATATTAATATTAATATAGTGGTACCTAAGTGGTACCACTAATACAGGTTTACAATTCTCCCAAACTGAAAAAAAATCAATATACACATTACTATATTAATATTAATTAATTCCTTTTCCAAAATATTTGGATTGTTGGATGCAAATAACAGACCATTGGGCGTACATATAACTAACATTAATTATGGTAATGTACTCAGCCTTGGTAAATGAAAGAAATCTAATAAAATTACATCCAATCACGCATGCAAACGGGATTTTTTTTTAATGGTTTTACCATCTACTTACTTATTATAGTAATGCTCGCACACAATGCGATTTTTCAATACATTAAAGTAACCTGTTTGCAAACCTTAATACTGGATTTGAATTTCCTGGAGCAAGGTTTTCTACATATGTTTACTTTGGATGTTATTACGGTAATTCGTTCAATGTTTTAAGAAATATAGTTTATGCCAAGCGGAATTGCTGACAAATAAAAAAACTTGAACCAATCAATTGAAAATGATAAGAGAATCATCTTTTGGAACCGGGATTAAAATCAAAACGTTAAGAATCAAACAAAAAAAACTTGTCTAGATAAATATTTCCTGATTTTTTATTTTGTCTCCATTTTTATTCTAACGGATTTTTGATCTAACAAAGTATTTTTTTTTTTTACCTTTCGATATTTTAAAAAAACAAGGAAATTTCTATATACAAACAAAAAGGTTCTTTTTTATGAAATACACAGAACCCTACAAAAAAAGAGATTTAATTGTGGGCTTAAATTTTTGTATATAGGCGTGACATTTAATAGTGGATGATTAAAATTTGTGGGTTGAGGTGGTAGACTCTAAAAATTAAATCTTATTGTCACTTAGGTCCTGTATATTTCATAAAAAGAACCTTTCTGTATATAGGTTTACCCTTTAAATAAACAACACAACCAATAATATTATTGTCTCTTTTTCCTTCTTCCTCTTATTGTTCTTATTAATTAGACTATATAAATGTTGGATCCAGTATCAAATGACACAAACTGTTACATGTATGGTAACCCCTGAAGAAGGGCAGGTGGTTCCTTATACATTTTATAACTAATTATAATTAGAATTTATTTCACTATAGGTACTAGTGAACGTGTTTCTGATATGAAAACCATGTTCATCATAGTAGAAATCCTGGCTCAGATGCAGTCATAACTGTTGCAAAAATCATGTTATGCAAAGAAAAATAATGATAATATCAAATTTTTAAAAGGGCATGGTATTAATTATTTAGCACAGAACTGTTCAAGATTTAATGGTGGTCTTAATTTTTATGCAGTAGAATATATAAAAACAAACAATTTTTTTTCCTTCCATAAATTGTTTTCTCAAGTAATGAAGAAATACCAAATGAAATCAAACAACATCCTATGTTACTGATACCTTCTTTACACAATTGGCTGTTATTTGAGATGATGAATTATTTAGCAATCCAAGTGTTATTAATCCTTTAAAGACACTCTTAAAGAAACATTCATATTACATGTGGCTATCCCAAAATTGACATTACAACAAATAAAAGAACCTGATTATTTTCAACACATCTCAAAAAATGCTTCTAATAAAATTAACCTGCCAACATTAGTTCCATTAAGACATTGTACACATAACCACACTGATAATATTAAGAATGTAATGATTATTGCTAACTGTTAATAAAATCAGTCACTCACTATTAATTATCCATTATATAGTGCATAAAAACCCTTTCATAATGTCTTTTAAATGTCTAATAATTACCTTTACATCCATGTTATCAAAAAATTTATTAGTATCCATGTTTACAATATATAAAAAAATCACTAAAGTCCTTTTGTAATATCTTTTGGAATGTCTAATCATTACCTTTACACAATGATATATTACACCCATGTTATCAAAAAAACCCTATTTACGTGCATTGTACAATACATAAAAAGTTTATTAAAGAAAAGTCCTTTCATTATGCCTCTTGAAATGTCTAATGGTTAACTTTACACAATGAAAACATCTTTGATATTTATGTTCATATGTATGATGACATGCATGACATTAACATCCCTATTTAAATATATAATACAATGATTGAAAAATTTTACCAAAAAAACAACACTGACAGCAAAGTAGTATTCGATACATTAACCTTTTGCCACATAAACCATTCAGATGTTCTAGAGAAACAGGTACTTTTTACTTGAAAGATCCTTCTTCAATAAAATGATCTCAAACATAGCTTTCTCTATATGAGTTTTCCATACTTTGTCAAAGTTTTGTATTTTTTTTTTATTTGGTGGTCTACATAATACATCATTGGTAATGTACTCTGACAAAAAATTTTTTCTTCATCATTAATTAAAATAATGCCATCATTTACTGAAGAGGAAATTTTATCAATTTAGGTATTACAAGTATTACAAATATTATGATATACGGTGCAATCATCTAAAAGAATCGCATGCAACGCCACTCGTACAATTTTTTGTGTCCAGAAGATTGCTAAAATAGAGAATTTTTGGTAAAATAAGTAAATATGGAAAATCAATTAAATCAAGCAAGTTAAACAATTATAGTAATAGTAATAGTAATAGTTTTATCCATCAAATCAAAATAAAACAATTATTATTATTATTATAATAGGTTTATCCGTTAACCCGTTAAATCAAGATTATCATTTCTATCATTTTGATGCAATATCGATCATACACCGGATACTAATTTTATGGATATCCGCATTTAAATACTGTATTGTGTGTGTGACCCTAAACAGTTTCGAAAGAGAAGCCTAGATCCAAATACAATCTGTACCTAAACTTAAACTTAAAAGAGTTCCAAGTCACAGTATCGTGCCTCACTAGTTTCTGTGTTTTCAATGACAAAGCCAAAAACACAAAAATATATTTCAACGAATATTTAAAAGTACAATTGGTTATTGATCATCTATCTGTATCTGAAACACAATACAACAACTTTACTTAATATGTAAGGCATTTTAAGTTCATGAAGTAAAATTTTATTTTTTATATAGATTGGAGAACAGGCCAAATATACTATCAAAATTATTTGATGATTGAATAGTAATTGTAAACATCTATTACAATGTTTGAATTAAATATGATAGTTTGATTTTAGTCTAAGCCCTTGCTATTTAAGGATTTAGGATTTTAAATTTACTATAGAGAATTGTTGGTATTGTAATAATTAAATCAAAGTTAAGTAACATAAGTAACATAGTAATTAACTTTTCTAACATAAAAATTATATAAATAAAAAAATTAGTTCAGAGCCTTCAAATAAAGGGAAATTATAGTAAATAGATCAAGCTTTAGACCACAGAGTTTTTTTTCTTACCAAATAATATATATATATATATATATTAAAGGCATCGAAAAAAATTCACCAATAGATAAACTTTATAACCAAATGAGTTGGGGCAAAAGGCTCTCTGTAACTTTATCATAGAAGACTTAAACAATAAAACTATAAAAGATTTCATTCAATTTATTATGAAAAGAATTATTTGATTTATTATTAAAGTTTACCATAAAAATTTCCATCATAACTGATAAATTAATAGAAATTTCTTTTTTTTTTCAAAAAAAAAAATTCTTGGTCGAATTTTTTTGTGTGAAATATATGATAAAGATACTAAAAAATCCGCATATAATAATTTGTTATATGTACATACTGTATGTTTGAACACCATAATATATAGAAAAAATTCCTATTATAATGTTGAAATAATCAAACTACTGGTTTATGAAAAAAATTATATTGTTTTTCATTTATAAAAAGCTGATGATTAATAAAAATTTTAACGTTAGTAACTATTGAAAGCACATTCAACATCTAATTTTGGAAAAGCGTGTTTCTCTTGATATGCATAATCTCATGAATCGTCGATTTGGAACTATTGACCTTTGCTGGTGCAACAGACATTAAAGTATTACGATCAGCAAGCAGTCCAATCAGAATGCATGTTAAAATTGCACAGATGTACAAAATTATTTTTCGGGTCAAATCGTATAAAGTGACAGATGCGGTTTCTAACCAAATATGAAAAAATAGTTACATTACATATTTGGTTAGCATGTACCCTCTTCACCCTCGTAAGACCCCAC